TGTATGAGCCAGACTATGTTTGTAAATAAATATATAAATACATATAAATCAATAAGCGAATCTATTTTCATTTCGTTGATTTGTCACGAGTTAAATTGAAAGACTTATACAATTCTTGACGCACAAAAAAATATTTACACAAAATAACTCGTCATTAAAATATAAAGGAACTTTTCTAAAGGTCATGTATTTTGATAGGTTTAGAAAGTTTATATAGATTTAGAAAATTTATCAAGATTTTAATGAAAATCATCTCTATTTTTCGATCAATAAAAGTTAATTTAATTCATCTAAAAATTTCGAGAACGAAAATATAATAAAAGTTTCCCTCTTATATGTCCAGGTATCTTAATGATTATAATTTTAAAATACTTCGGCTGTTGAACAACGCGAACTCGTAGGTAGACACATTGGCTGCACACCTACGTATTTCTAAATAAGTCTTATTCGTAGGTTGGTTGCAGTATAGAAGCAAAATTCATATCTTCTTCTATCTATTCGACGATTATTATTTTGTATTATTATCTAAATTCGAATCTTTATTGACAGAGAAGAATACAATGTTTATATGATGACGAATCGAATATGTTTCTATTAATTTTTTTCGCAATATTACCTACATATATATCAATATCAGCTATATATATCAATATTATGAATAAAACTATACTTTTCATTATTAACAAATATTTACAATGAATATATATCTACACTTCTAGGATATTCTTAAATACTGCAATCACTGGCAATTTCTCCTGAGTACATAATTTTCAAACACATTTGCCTGCTTTGATCTTTGCCACAGACTCTATGCAGTATATAAATTCAGCATGAAACTGAACTATCTTACAATCTTACTGACAAAGTATTGCGATATAACACGTACTACGTAGATAACTTTAATGATAGTATATATAACTTTAAATTAATAAAGATCATTTGTTTGTTTTCCAAATAAATTAACCTTATTGACTATTAAATTATCTTCCTTCAGATAATTGTATGCATGTATTCTTTATTTTGATTTTTGTTCTTTAACCGAAAATTACTCTTCCGTGAAACATGTGATATCGCGTGTATCGATACGTAAACGCATAGCACGTACGCATACAACACTCGAGCGGAAAACACGTGCATATAGGTTATGTACGCGGCATGCAAGAAAGAGATGGTAAGAGAAACCGCGTAGAAGTAAAGAGATAGGAACAAGTGTAAAGAGGAGGAGAAAAGCAGAGAAGACAGTAAGCTAGTGAATGCGTAACAGAAAAGGAGAGACTATAAGGACTACTGCCGTTTTATTGGCAGAGGTGAACGACACTGCCTACTGCAAGGTGGATGCCTGTATTTCGCATAACCACTCGTCGTTGGAACGTGCCATGAGTTTATGGGTCACTACCTACTGTTTTCAAGCATCTTCTTACGAAAATAGTGTGAATTCGTTGAATTAAAATTATATCAACATTAATACATAAACACAATATAAATTATATCGATGAAAATTGTGAAAGTTTATTTTTCCCTTTTTTATGTTTTATTAATCTGTATCTTTTACTTATAGAAGAAATCATTTTTGAAATAATATAATTTTGTCGTTTGCAATACTTCTAATAAACGCCGACATTTTAAAAGCTAACCTTTATGCTAAAATACACTTAACATGAATTTCCTAATGACTGATTTATGTTAATAATCGCATACATTTCATTTAATTAAAATATATATACGGATTTTTTTGAAATTATTTAAATGATACTTTCTGAAAATCAACAATTCATTCAATATATAACTTCCAATTGCAGAAGATAATAAGCTTGTACAGGTTATGTAAGAGTAATTTGAAGGACGAACAGCAGGGGAACGGCCTAATCAACAAGAGTAGAGTCAGAATTTGTGATTAATTTTGTAGTTAACATTATAATTTTGTATAATAATTTGATGAAATAAAATTTCAGATAGAATAATATATAAAAAATACATGATGATACTCACATGAGTATAAATTTTAATTTTCAATTCATATAAAATAATATAAAGTTATGCTATGCACGATAATATCAATATTTCTAATTGAAGTTTCCTAGAATTCACTATTGTATGATATAAAATTTTTCTATCTTTTGTGGCTATTGACAGTACACGAAATTTATATTGCAGGAAAATCGGTCGAGTAACGTGAACTGACCTCTGCTTTGCCGCTCCTCATCGATTTTCTGAACATACGTCAATACGAAGTACGCCAGACAAGTATTCACAGAATTAAATGCTATTACTTTTTAAATATTCGATAAATAAAGATTTCTATCATCTTATATATAGTAATTATATTAAATATTTAAGAAATAAAGATATTTTTAACAAACGTGCTTATCACTAAATATTTTGAGGTTAACTACAGCAATTTCATATTATCTTTATATGGAACAATAATATATAATTACTAAAAAAACAATATTAAATTTGCATTATTTAATGTTTTATCTAACATTATATTAATATTATATCAATTATATCATTTATTTTTAATACATTTACAAAATTTATACTAAAAAAAGAATTCAATTATTTCAATATATTCAAAAATGTGGTACTTTGTAATTGTTTAATCATGCAATTAATAGAAATAATAAGGATCAAATAAAAAATAAATAAAATAGAATATTGAATATTGAAATCATTATATTCATTTAATATTTTTATTTATCATAAGAAATATTTATATAATTTATTTATATATTGATTGCTCAATATTAAAAATTATAATAAAATATTTTGTCAATTATATAATTGCTTGATATCAAAAATATTTGATTTTCACATATAATGTATAAATTAAGATCTATTTTCATAATAATGAGAAGATTTAAGAAAATATATATATATAATATATATGATATATTAAAGGTATAAAATGACAAGTTCTAAGAATACATAACTTGCATTTTCAACCAATATCATTGAAGATAGATTCGTTTGATTGTAGCACAGAAAGTTTATATTAAATTAAGCAGACGTATTTATATTATTATGTAATATCATTTATATATAAATATTATAGTATTATATCTCACACTAATCATAATGTGAAAGATAATAATTGAAACTATAAATATATTAACTTTTTTGCTTTTCATTGTAAACATAATTATGTATGTATCTTTTATACCTTTAAATCTATAGATGATATAAAGCGAATAGCTTATGCTTTACTTATAAATATTATTTAAATAGATCATGATGAAAAAAAATATGAGTACATTTATTAGTTCTCATTCATGAATCTTATCAATATATCTTTGTCACATGTGATTATGAAAATATGAAGATTATATAAAAAAATAAAGTATAAGATCACAACTAACCTTTGAGCTGTGGTAACTGCTGAAGTTCAACATCTTGAGAGTTACGATAACGAGATGAACCCTGTGATTTCTTGGATTTCTTCTTAAGAGATCTCTTGGCAAAGGGATCTATCCGGTCCACAAAAGTCGCTGACGACATGTTGGGATTAGCAGAGGCACTGTAAGAACTGGAGGGAAGTGGAACGCTGGAGGCACTTTCGTGCCTCGGCTGCACTTTTTCGGCGTTGGACGCGACTAAAGAAGATTGCATCCACCCCGAGGAGGTCGCATTCCGTGTCGAGGAAGATGAACTCACTACACACACAAGGATAAAGCAACACTACACGATTACCAAGCGCACGTGGTGTACCTGAACACGGTAACCTACTGGTTCAGACGTTCCTGAAGTAGAGAGGGGTGAAAATTGATAGTAGTGCGTGCATAGCACGAGTTTTTCCGCGTAACAGAGCAACGTGTTAATCGACAAGGTTTGTCAATCGAAGAGATCCATTAAGTTCACAGTTCAATTAAAATTCAATGAAGAATTGTTAGCTCGTTTTTGTATCGGTTGAGAAAAGGGGCGCGATCGCTTGTTAGGCGTTGTCACACGCGAACGCACGCCCCGTCGTACGTCGAATCTCCCACCTACACCGTGCAACACAGAAGCGGCACCGTGTCTTTTCTCGATCGTATGTGGATTACGCGTTACCTGAAACCACGACCGATGATTTGGTCTATGGTTCAATTCTTCGGCTTTTGCCGTTGAAACGAATATTTGATTCACGGTGCCGGAGACCGTGAACGGCTGGCAGGCTTACCGTACCGTGCCTGCGTGTCGGGTACCAAATCGCGAAAGAAGCACCGTTACGAAATAGCTTGTAGCTCGTCTACAAGCGGTTTTTCGTCGCGCGAAATCTATCTTCCACAAAATTATCTTCCTTCCGCACGCGGTAGCCACACTCCGCTCGCGCAGCTAAACGCACACACTCACTTAAACGTTGCGATGGGGGACACTGAGGCTCGAACAGCACTCGGCCGCCATCAGCTGCTCGGACCGACGAGCTTCTTTCATTTTTGCCGGAACGACCGACAGACCGTCAGGCGCTAAGTCCTGCCGAGACGTCTTCCAACATCGTACGTTTTATTACGCGCACACAAGTTACTACAATTTCGGCATCTACCGCACGTAAAATTTAAATTAAAAAGAAAAAAGGATCCTTGCACCGTCGCCCTCTTCACTTATTGAAAACCCGTCAAGAGGTGCCTTGTGTGCCTGAAAATAGTAATGTGCACTCGACAATCATCGGCCGGAGATTCCCGATCAAACACGAATACCAGCGAATATCCTAGATTGCGCCACTTTACGAATCTTTACCGTTTTGCCATAGTACTATTGCTTTTTCTTACTAGGAACATTTAAATTTGCAATTAAATAACTACATTATTAACATCATTTAAAACTATTGGTTAAAAATTATATTCCTTTTTAATATTTTCTGATTGATGTTTATTGTCTATATTGATAATTCATTATCAATTGCTTTCGTTTCTATGAACATAGCTTAATATAACTAACAATATATTTTATAGTTGGTACTTTTATGTTAGAAAAATAATAGAAAATAATTTATAAATTTGTTTCTAAAATCTTTTGATGCATTATTTCATTATATATATATTAATTTATATTTATAATGTGTATATAATATCTGTATATATATGTATGTGTAAAATTATATTTTATATATTATATATTTTTATTTATTTCATAATTTTAATATTTTTTTTAAATTATTTGCATTTACATAAAGTCATTTTCTTATTTTATATATTATGTTTGTTGTTATATTTTGTATTAATATATATTTGTTATTACGATCCATAATGTTGTATACATAATTGACAAATATCGTTACATACTTCATAGTTTACAAACTTTTATAAGTATCATAACACATTGTTAAATTTTAAAAACAAAGTGCTTTCTTAAAAATAGTGCATTTTTATTATTCAAAATAATAAATTTTGAAATTGACTAAATAAGATTAGATTATTATGTCATTATATTATATGGAATATAATTTATTATATTCGATATTTAACCTTTAAATATTTATATTATAAGATAAAGTGTGTTTATTAATGTATATTTTGAAATTTAAAAAAACGCGTTATAAATTTCAGAAATATTAATAAATATTGTTTTTTCATCTAATTCTTCATGTGCTCTATACCAAAATCAAATGCTTTAAATTTGTTTACTCGATGTCCTGGGTTATATTGTGGAAGAGAATTATTATCAGATGGGAATTGGAGTGATTGTGGTGCATGTCCTCGAGGATTTAGAGCAAATGCCTCTTCAATATGTGTACCCTGTGATGATGAACCAATGCTTTATGATTGGCTTTATCTAGGATTTATGGCATTAGTAGCATTGGTACTACATTGGTTTTGTATTGATATGGTATCTAACCAGCGTAATATACCTAAGAAAGTGATTGCATTACATTTGTCTGCTTTACTGGAAGTTGTTTCTGCATCTCTAATTACTTTACAATTGACAGATCCTGTAGGTAGTTTTAAAGTTAGATCATGTAGAGCTATGAAACTTTCAGATTGGTATACATTATTACATAATCCTAGTCCAAATTATGAAGAAACTTTACATTGTACACAAGAAGCTGTTTATCCTTTGTTAGTAATTTTTTAATCAATTTATTTAACTTTATTCAATTTGAAAAATTAAATAATCATGTAATTATTCAATTCTTAGGTACACTATGGTGTTCATTTTTTATGCTTTAGGAACAGCTATTATGTTAATAATAAGACCAATTGTATCCAAGAAATTTTTACCAAGGCAAGGAAAATTTTCAATTTATGCTGCTCTTTATTTTTATCCTATTTTAGCATTATTACATGCAGTTGGTGGTGGTCTTATATGTAAGTGAAACAATTTGAAAAATTATATATTTTTACAAATTATTTAATTATTATTACAAAAATTATGTATCTCTATATTTTTAACAATTGTTTTTTACAGATTATTCATTTCCATATATAACCATAATATTATCTGTATTATCTAATGCAGCACATTTTTCACTTAAATTAAATCAGGTAATATTTTTTTTTTTATTTACATTTAACTATATTTTTAAATATTTAATATAATATAATTCATATTTTTATTATTAATTTTTATCTTTTTTTTCAGTCAATGAAAGCATTGTTATTAAGTTGTGTATCAGATATGAAAAATGCAATAGTCATTTTAGGTCACTGGCTTTTATATGGATATGGATTAATGGCTGCAGCAACTTTTCGTGGTTTTGGTATTCATCCAGCAATGCTTGCTTTAGTTCCTTTACCTGCATTGTTTTATATTCTTACAGCAAGATTTACAGACCCACATAAACTTCATATTGAATAAATATATATTGTGAAACTGTTTATTGTTGATTTGATCATGATTAAAAAAAAATTCTTTTCTTAAATAACAAATGATGGGTTAATTATAGAATTTCTATATTTTTTTTCATATTTAATTAAATCATGCATATTTAATGATATTATTCATAAAAGCAGTACATAATTATTTATAATAAATATTATAATATATAATAGTATAAAGATAATAAGCATGAGATTATTATTAATCAATTATAAGTTTTTTATCTCATAATTAATTTTTTGGAACAAATGTTAAAACAATTGTACTCTTGGCTGATATAGGAACCTTATTAGAAGGTAATTTTGTTCTGTAAAAAGAAAAGGTTTTATTAAAATTTATATATATATATATAATAAAATAATTTTTTAATGTCTTATAAATAAATAAAAAATAAAATAAATAACAATTATGAAATAATATTACCTTATTATTTCGCCATCTTGCACATAATTAGGACTATATGCAATTATACTAACTTCTTCAGAAATCTGTGGTATTATAGAGAAATCCACGACAGTAGGTTCTTCTGCCGATTGATATGCTACTAAGTAACCAGGATTGCCGCTCTTTAACCTAAATAATATTTATTTAAATCAATATTTTTATGTACATAATAAGAAAGAATGATTGATTCAATTTTCAAAAATGAATAATAAATTAATATTTTATTATTTGTTAGTTAAAATCATTAATATTTGAAGTTTTATTACTTTTACAGAAAACAGGTTTCATGCTATATGTTAGTAACAGAACTCACCAGCTTCTGCGTTGCATAGAAGGAAGCGTGGAACAGGGTAAATTGATCTTTGGTTAGTAAATTACACAGTACATTTGTGTCAATAATGTGAGATATATAATAGTATATGAATTGTTTGAAAATTAAGTATACTATTAAAGCATAATTAAGATAATTATTTATTATAATAGCATAATAGTAATTGTGATTGAACTCTTTTTGACATAAATAAATATTTTAATTACTTAATTTTATTTCTAAAAGATATAACTTTTATCAATTTTTTAATATTGTTTCCTTTATTATTATTGTTGTTGTTGTTATAAGATTATAAAGATATATTATTCAGATTTAATGTATGAATGAAAAAAAAATATTATCAATATTAAAAGAAAGAAAATATTTATATTACCTTGTGTATACAAATACACTTCCATTAATAGTCTTGAATATTGTGTCTCCATAAAGGAATGTTAAGCTTTCTCGTGCTTTAGATAAAGTTGCAAAGGCATCTTTTGCAGATAAAGTATCATTCAATTTTAACACAGGTGTTCCAGGTAAAAGTAATATCATAAGTGTTAAACTGTCTGCTATATCTGCAGGCATTCTTTCTCTCAAACTATGTTTTTTGCCGTTGATCTAATAAATAATATAATATATACAATATGTAATATAATATAAATTTTATGAATATTTCAAATTAACTTACATCCCAAGCAGGCCAAGAAGTGAAATTAAGCCAATGAGAAATACCATATTGTAAAGTTGTGGCATTTATACTGCTATCTGCAGTTGTAAGGAATAATGAATTTTGTGGGATATCAATTAGTCTTTTTTTTTCATTATAAACTTCAAGCATATCAGTACCAATATCATCTTGAAGAGCAAAAAATCTGGAAAAATTTTTGTTTGAAACAAAATTATATATATTTATATATATAATATATATATATATATATATACTATATATATAATATAATATATATAATAATATATACTATCATGAAGGATAACTAACCCTTTATTTTCTGTTTCATTATAAATTCTTTCTTGCCATTTTGTTAAGATATTGACATTTTCTGGACGATCTCTTGTATAAGCATGTACTAAAGAATTATAATTATCTGCTTCAGTAGGTATAACACTTCTGAATTCATCATGAAGATTTGGATCTTCAATTAAGTATTGAATATTAGCTAAACGAAATCCACTTATTCCTAATTTTATCCAATGACTTAAAATATCCTAAGAATTAATGAAGTATTATTAAATATATTTTTTGTACTTAATATAATATAAAAAAAAGAATAGAAAAATAATTTACAGAAAATTCTGCTACTACTGTAGGATTATTATAATTTAATTCAGGTTGTGTTTTATTGAATTGATGAAAATAATATTGTGCTCTTTGTTCATTCCATTCCCATGCTGATCCTCCATATACACTTAGCTAAAAGAGTTTATATAATAATATATATATAATAGAATGTACTTTTTAATTCAAATTAATTACAGTTCGAAAAATTATAACTAACCCAATTATTAGGTGGATTACGTTTTCCATCAGATGTTATCTTTGCATCAGCCCAAACATAATAAGATGAGAATGGTTCTTCTCTTTCAATAGAACGTTTAAACCAAGGATGTTCAATTGATGTATGACTTGGATCTAATTCTAAAATAATATATTGTTCTCTATCTTTTGCAGCTTTTATAAGAGCTTCCAAATCACTTAGAGTTCCTAATTCTGGTTTAATGTTTTTGAAATCTTCTGTTCCTCCTATTTTTTAAAATAGCATATGTTATCTATCATTTATATTATGATAAATTATACATAAAAATTATATATGTACCTGTTAAACTTTCTTTAACTATGGAAGCAAGAGAAATTGCATCTATGTTCTGTTCTTTCAATACATTTAACAAAGATTCTACACCTTTTAAATCATGAGTGTTTGTCTCAACAGGATCTAATTGGACAATAGAACTTTTCTCCCACCATTCTTTAGGTTTTGGTGCTGTACATTTTGGAGCCATTACCACAATAGCTATAGCACCAGCCAGCATAGCTACCCAAAGTAACCAAAAAGTAACAAATAAGAACCACCTTAATCGAATCCAAAATGGATCATTAGCAAATTTCATTAATTCTTCTTTTCCCATTCCGGACAGAGCTTGCTTAACTGTTTCAATATCAATTTTAGTATCTCCATTTTCAGAAATAAATTTTACCTATTTGAAATAATAATATATTATGTAAGAAATTAATAAATTTGATATGCAATAAATCATGATTTTTTCCGAATTTTTTTATTCTAACTTTACTTTCTAGTTTTTGTACAATATCTATATAAGATGATGTAATAATAAAAAATATTTAGTTTCAAATAATAAATTCAGAATATTATAAAATATGGAATATATGAAATACGATTATATACGAATATATGAAAAAAGATTAGAAAGTTATTTAAAATTCGAAAGCAAATTGATTATTTCTTATTATTGAACAAAAGAAATGATGAATAAATAAAATTAAAAACTAATGTAAAAAAAAAAAAGAAATATCAATTATTCTTGTACGAAACAAAAATAATAACGATAATAATAAAAAAGAGAAAAATAATTTTTTAATTATAATTATTTAATTATATGAAAGTGGTACATTTTATTGATCGTGTAAAGATAAGACATCTTTCAAGAATATGCTTATGAACATACCTCAGTCGTATCTTTTATAGGAGAAATTTTACTCTCATCCTTGAGCATTTTTTCATGGACTCCATCATCAATCTCGTTTTCATTATTTGGTTTTCCCATTGTAATATTTTCTACTTTGTCTTGTCGAACGGTATCGTCGTCCGGTAACGCCTTGTATGTAGCGGTGGCGACAACTGTCGTTTCTTTCGCGTTCCCATTCGCTTCGACACTATCTAAATTCAACCTCCCACTCTCCATTATGATTATCGAACAAAACCAAGGTCGTGCTTGAATTATCTTATATGATGGGGATATGCGAAAATTCTTTTTTTTTAATGAACTTCTGATGAATCTTACGCACCCTGAGCTTCAAGAATGACTGAACAAACGCGTTTTAAGCCATGAAGATGTCTGGTTGGTTCTTATTCTCTTTTTGTCACTACACCTATTTACTTTACTACTACAAACATAAGGAACAAAGTAAAATCAGGGACGGCTATTCTTGCACCAAAATATTATAATTTCATAATTTTAAAATAAATAGTATTGAAATTTATAATACATTATAAAAATTAAAAAATATTCATAATTTTTTTGATATATTAAATAAATAATTTTTATTCAAATAAAAGTAGATAATTATATTAATTTGATAAAAATTTATATTTTCATATTGTATTAAAATATTTTGATAAATATAAAGTAAAATTAAAAAAAAAAAGAATAGATAATTTAAAAAATATTTAAAAAAATTTAGAATTAGAAATATTATTTTATATATAAAATTATTTAAAAAATTGTTGGAAATAATCGTTTTATATGGGGTTCTGTATTTCTATAGTCCAGTACTGATGTAAAGTCTCCCCTTTCGATTCAATGATTCCATCGACGAATAGAATACTTGCACGAAAGAACAGTGTAGAAGGTATATACATATGTGTGTGTATGGTCTGTGTGTCTGTGTGTAATACTTATCGACATAATTTGTTTTTATTGGATATTTCGAAATTACAATTGAAAAATATTTAAAGATATTATTTTGGAGATATTCTATATCTTTTTACAATTTTATTTAACAGTAGTTCTATCGAAAATAAAGAACTAAATGATTATCTTATATCCTGTTAATAATACAAAAAATATACTATCTTTATAAATCGATATATCGATTTTTTATTCATCGATTTATTCAGAAAGATTGAAAATAGGATTGTATATTATATTAATTCAAATTTTGGAAAGTTTACTGAAACAATATAAATTAAAATAGTTATAAAACATGAAAGTAAAGATGAATAAAATTTATTATTTAAATACTTACTGTATTTGTTACATTTACAATAACTATATCCTCGGTATTGTGACATATTTTTGAAATGAAGCAGCAATGAGATAAAATGGATATAATAATTACTACTATTAACATTGCCCATAAAAACCAAAATATGCAGAGACGAATGTTCATACATATTGGATCAATTGTATAATATTTAAAATTATCGCTCGCTAATTCTGGAAAAAAGATTTTCTTTATATGCATTTAAACAAATATTTTTTTATTTTGTTATTCTTTAAGTTTAAATTTTAATTCATCAACAATTTAATATATTTTTAATTATGATTTATATATATACATTTTAATTTACGTTTTTAAATTGTACGCATAAATTATTATATATAATTTCGATCGATCAAATCTAGATTCAATATTTTAATTTACGAACTTCCGTTTTCGAATTGCACACGATATATGAATGCGCGAGCATATATGTTATGATTGGTTGAATTTAAATTTGAGATTTCATTCAAATATCGTTCTCCTACTGTACGCGTACTTTGCACGTTTTGTATATAGTGATATCAAACCTGTGTCTTTTTTCTGTTTGGATCCGCCAAATTGTACAGCCTCATAAATCGATTTGTCACAAAAAAGGTGAGTAGTTTCTGCAGATCCCATTGTTTTGTATTCCTTTTCGTATTCTTCGTATTTTTCACTATTGTAACCAATAATTAGTAAATTTCTTGAATTATCGTTTTTTCCTTCGCACATTCGTTTGCTTTCCGATTCGATAAAAATATTTGTGTTTACACTACTTAAATACGATTTAGGCTGACTATTAATGATTGGTATTACAAAACCAGACAATGAAGACGAATACGACATTTCTGTCCGTGATAAATATAGACATGAATAGATAGCAATTGAATGATAGATAGCAGTGAAATTTCTTTTGCTGCCCCTATTATTGTTTGTCTTTTGTGCTTATCTTATGAGAGATACATTTATTGAATGTATTTGCGTTTATTTAAACCCTGTTATTCTGATTAAAAAGGAATCTGTATATAAACGATAAACTGAATGACATAAATGTGATATTTTAAATTATAATGCACTATCTATAATCACAAATTCAATGAGGGATATATTCTTACTGTTTACGAGGCAACGAACTGTTTAAAATTTTTATTTTGCCTTACTTCACGTTCATTTGCATTTCAAACAAATCGATAATATTTATATCGTTATTAAATATATAATTATACCAATGGAAATAAGATTTATTTTTTATTATAATTTATAATTTATAATTTTAAATACAACTCTGATTTATAAATGACATATGTCATTATAAATACATATATCATTACCTAAGACCACATTGCTTAGTTTATTATGAGTCACTCAATTCATTGATTGCTTTGTGAACATACTTGAATAGTACTTGTACTATTATTAATATAAATTATAGTAATACTTCAGAACCAGAATATTAATATCTGAGGTTGATGCCTCTGTTATCAAAAATAAACTTCATATCTATAAGATATATTTAACGTATATAAAATGGGATGGATTAAACATATATTCGTTACTTTTGTATTTGTAAGCTCTTATTAATATTTTAATTTTTTATTTAAATACTTTTAGTTTAACTATTTTTTATTCTATAAAATTTGACTTAATAAAATGATGAAAAGTTAAATAATAATGTTACTGCAATACTTATACTTGTTATTATATGTATTGATGAACAAATAGTAGCTGAATTTTTTTTAGTTGTCGTCGATATAGAAGTTGTAGTTGTTTCAGTTGTATTATTTCCTTCAGATGTATTACAATTGCATGTGTCAGCTTTTAGTACTAATGCCGCATTTGCTGTGAGTATAATGTTTTTTGGCGAAATAGTTGCTCTAATAAATAAATTATTCAATTATTTTTGTGAATAGTTAACAAAAAATAATCTTTTATGATATTGATGATATAAGAGATAACGCTTACGTATTGTGAACAGCATTACTAGAAGCGATAATAATATCCAAAGAATCTTCAAAATTCGGATATAATGACATTAAATTAACCGTTTCATATCGTAGTCCCAAATTAATAACAATAAAATATGTAGGATTATTTTCTAAAGATCTAATAGAAAATAAAATTAAATATTTATTGAATATTTATTGAATATATCATTACATACCTTTTAAAAATAAATATGCGACCATCATTTAAGGTTGCAAATTCATAATCTCCATGAGTAAATACTTTATCTTTCCTAAGAGCAGCAAGTAATTTATATGTGTTCAAATTGCTATGTGATTTATATTGCTGAGCTTCAACATTCCTTTCTATATAATCTGGATGAAGAGGAAGATATGTAGTCTTATTAGACGAAAATCCTGCTGAGATATTAAAGTTCCATTGCATTGGTGTCCTTGCAGGATCTCTGGAATAATTTGCATATGTTTCCTTCGTCCTCGAACAACCCATAGGATCGATTGTTTCATTCCATAACATTTTTCTATCTAACATAGCAATCTCTTCTCCATAATAAGTATATGCTTGACCAGGTAACAGTAGATTAAGCATATGAAGTCCATCTACGCGATTTAATCCGATCCTTGAGGCTGCTCTTGAATTATCATGATTGGAAAGCTAAAATTATACAGATCATCTTCTTAGATTCTAAATAAATAGTGAAAAATTATTATTACAATATATGCATTTTTACCACCCAATTTGTGCTTGCTTTGTTGGGAATTTTTTTAAGCCAATTTTCCAAAACATTTTTAATATGGTCAGCAGTACTTGTATTATGAACTGAAGTAATCAATCGAAAATTAAAAGGTGGAATTCCATTGTGTGTTGAATTACCATAAAGTGATATCAACACTTCATCAGAGTCATAAGATTCAGCAATCAATAATCTGAAAATAATTACAGCAATTTAATATGAAGATATTTAATATGAAGATAGAATATGAAGATAGAATATGAAGATCATGAATTAAAATAAGACTTTTAATATTTCTATACATACTTTGAAGTTGCATTATTTTTTTTTACCCAATCATCAATATATGAGCGAAACTTATATACAAGAGCTGTGTTTTCTGGTAGTCCAGATGTTCCATTTCCTTTAAATTCATTTTTTAAATCTATATCTTCATAGAAATATGACACTGCACTGATTCGAAAACCATCAACATTTTTTTTTAACCAAAAGTTAAAAACATTCTAAAATAAGAAAATAAATTATTATATATAATGTATATATATAAATATATATAAATTATGTATTTATTTATTATATATATAATAAATACATATAAAATTTATTTATTTATGTTATCATAATGCAAATATTTTACCAGTAATTCTTGCAATACATTTTCATTTCTTAAATTCAAATCAGGTTGGGATTTATGAAATTTATGATAATACCACTGCTTTCTGTTATCGTGCCATGTCCATGCAGATCCCTCTTCATCATTATAAGTGCTTACCTAAATTAAAAATAATATTAATTTATCAGATATTAATTTCTCAAAATTATTTAAATAATTATTAAAAAGTTACCCAATTATTAGGAGGAATTTTTTTGTTCCCATCTGTAAATCCATTTGCCCAAATGTAATAGTCATTATAAGGTTTAATATTTTGACTTGACAGTAAAAACCATTTATGTTGATCGCTTGAATGATTTGGTACTATATCTAAAATCACCTTCAGATCTAAAACATTTTATTTTGTAAAAAAAAAATTGATGTTTACATTGGATAAATAAATTATGTCAAATTATTGAGACATACCACGATTATGTGCTTCCCTTATAAGCTCATCAAAATCCTGAAGATTACCAAACAAAGGATGAATGTCAGTATAATTAGAAATATCGTATCCAGAATCTATAAGTGGTGATGAATAAATAGGGTTCAACCAAATTGCATCAATTCCAAGATCTTTTAGATAATCGAGACGATTTATGATACCTGTATGATACATTAGAAATTTATTTAAATTATATTTTTTTATAATATATTAAATACTTTTATTTATATTAAATACTTGCTATTTTTATAAATCATACAATATTTATTTCTTCATATATTTTTCGTCCATGTTTCAAAAATGTTAAAATCATAGCATTATATTCTTCATAATAATTTCTAGATCAATGAATAAAATAATTATTTCCATCGTATGATAACATAAGAATTTTATCTATGACATATGAAAAATTTGAACTTCAGTTGGTACATATCATACATGACCAACGAATGATAATCAAGACCTACCCTAACACAACCCCGTGAGATTAATATTTCGCGCATTTAACGTTTATAATACGTTTGCTATATAAATTTCAAGAATAAATTTATGATAAATTTCATAAAATCACTGTATTATATGTATATACATATATATACTATTATATTAAAGTATAGACAATGAACGTTTTTATAAGAAATTATTTAGAATTTATTTCAAACAAATCTTTATGCACTTTCATATGCACTCGCAATGAATTATTATCAATACCATATTTTTTAATTAATTCGAAATCTCGATATTTATAATTTATTTACAACACATTAACACATCTGTAAATTTATATTTATAACGTACCCTTTAAATCACCCTCGCCATTTCCATCGCTGTCTTGAAATCCCCTCGGCCAAATTTGATAAATCAAAGCGGTTTCCCACCATTGCTTGTCGACCAATATGGAATTGCTCGATCCCATAAGAAGAATAATCAGAATTAATCGTAGAACAACATAGTAGTAATCCATTTCGTCAATTGTCGTTGAAATTTCGATTCATGATCCGCAATTCCCCCTATTATATATATTTTTGGCAGAAACCAGGTTATCGCTTTATCTATCGCTATCAGAATGATTCCTACGCCCTTATCGCTCTTATTCCTTGTTTTATATAAGCTGTGACCGCGTCATTATTTACGTGTTACAAATATACCGAAATATTCCTTTAATCCCTATGACGAGTCATGAGCCATCGCGATAAATTTTTATTTGAGCAGTGAAGAGGAAAATCTAATACCAGCTCCGTTGCGAAAGGGGTATAATTATACAAATTGCTTGAAAAAGGTCTCTGCATTACATGTTGACGAAGATACCAACTGATGATTTACTGAAAGTAAAAAAGAGATAAAATTTCTTTGAGTTCTTTATATCTTTTTTCAAAGTAATGGATAGTCTAAGATTTAATCAACTTGTGTTATGCAATGTAATTTTATCTTACCATCTTTTTAGACATTAAAATTTGTCTACTCCTCGTTGCTGCTTTCGTATCGAGAATTACTCGTTCAGAGATCATTCTCGAGTGGCTATTGACATCACACAGTGAATGCTCAAGACGAAAATTTGGAACATCGTTGCCAAGAAAAAGATTTTCTGGCGTTCATCCTGAATAAAGTTTTGTCGAGAGATCAGGTGGATAGCATCGGTTTACTTTGAATTTTACTCGATCACATCTGCTAAAAATTCAAATCCATCATAGATAGCCAAGGATCGTACATAAATTATCCGCCGTATTTTTAACACGAAGTTTTCTTTTTATCCTCTTTTGCCGCATCGAGCACCACCGTTTCTGGTGGCTAGAAATTATACGCTCGCCGTAATTAATTCCATCGATTTCCGCTTAATTAAAACTCCGCCCGCAACTTGTAAAAACACGACGCGTCGCGGCACAGCACCGTTTTAATTCGGTCTGCGCGGCGAGTAAAAAGGCGAGCGGTGGCGTGCCATTCGAAAAATACATTATCTCCGTTCCTGCATACGTATTTCAACAAAATTCATCCGACTCTCGCCTCCTGGTAATTCATTCTCGCGGTTAACCCTCTCTCGGTTCCCGACCGAGCCAACTTTCGCGCGTTCAACTGACCACGGAATGCCTTATTGCGTCACCTAATTCAACGTGTAAGCCTCTTACTACGATTCTGCGTTCCGCGGAGAAGTTTATTTCGTTTCATCGTTCACTAAGAGATGATTCATAAATTCGTAATACATAATTTAGGGATTGTATTCATAAAGAAGATTAAAATGAAAGACGTATAATCGTATAAATGCACCAATATATCTCAGATTGTGAATTATGAAAGATTAAAGAAAATGTGTTCTAGTGTAATTTACGTGTTTTTCAAGTGTTCCTGAAATATAGTGTCCATTGAATGCACAATTCGCATGTATCAAACAAGATGAAGTGATAATTCTTTAATTTCTTAATCTAATATTTTTTTCACTCAATTTATATACAATTACAATACAAATTACTTTAAATTCAATTCAAAGACAAAATCGATGACACTCCAAATACGTCGAAATAATTTGAAAGAGATTGGTATTGGATGGTATAGAATGGTTGGTTATTTATCGTATGAATGAGTTATCGGAACGACGGTAAAACGACGAATTGATAGTATTGAAAATTCGATCATTTTGTTCTTCTCCATCGTTTCATCACGCATGGAACGAATTATTAATCACCATACGCAGTACACCATTTATTTGCGTACACCGTATTGACAATACAAATTATCAAGTCACACCACGCGTTAAATAATTTCCATGTATGTAAAAATTTATTTATTTATGTTACATACGTGGTTTACTTTATAAATAATCCCTATTTCCTTTTCGATTTTCAATCCTCAATGGCTCTTTTATAACTCGTTTATAACGGCACTTGTACAACACAGTTATTCGTCTTTTAAATAATTAATGTCCACAATAATTCGAACAATGGCGATATGTTTTCGTTCAGAGAATACAACGTTTTCTATCTAGGATCTCCATACGTATAGGATTCAGAGATAGATCTGTTCGTTTCTCGACTCGTTCATAATGGACAGTGAGATATCGTATGTTCCCCGACGTCGAAAAGAAAAATAATTGTGATTTGCATAGCGTCGTCAGATAACGATGACCCAACAACTGATCGATTTCTCCCGCAGTTTTTGCGTTTGTCCAAATTATGATTATTTCTTATCGCAGAGAAAACATGGAATTATGAATGGAAAAATTATATCTGATTGTTTGGATATTCCTATTTCGTAAAAAATGTTTAATAAGAAAAATCGATCCAAGCTTAGATAGCAGTGCATTTTTAAAGGTTTAGTTTAAGAGGCGATATATTAAATTCTGATGGTCGAGAGAAGCCATTTATGCGACAAGAATTTATTCCGATTATCGTTTATTTTAAACTTTACTCGTCATTTATTTGCCTCTCTTTTATCTCTGCTATTCTGTTAATGCAATATCTCTCAAAATATTCACGGTTTAATATCGTATCACGATTTATTCTTTTTACCAAAAATAAAGAACGAGGTATTCCAGAAGGATTTTAAAAAGATGGATCGAGGTCGAAAATTCTTCATAAAATATTTAACTATAATTTATCGAAGTTGAAAATTTCTAAAAAGAATTTGATTGTTTGTAGTACAATCTTATCTATAAGGCTTGTGTATATATAATTTATAAAAAAATCATTTTCTTCCACGCACGTATATATATATATATTTCGTCACAATTTTTGCGATACGAGCACATTCCTGATAAATTAAATTTCCTTTAATCCAACATTCTCTTCATCCTTAAAATAAATCTGCTTCCTTTCTGAACCGCGCGAAACGTTGCGATCGATAATTTAATTTATTAAAATTATCTCGATAGGAAATTATATCTCACCAACTAACAAATCGAAAATTGTTAATCGTCAATCATTAGTGGCCGAGATTTATGCGCGAAGTTTAATTCGCGTTTCATCACGATATTTCGAGCGAAAACATTTATATCTTTGTTTATCCCGTTCTATCTTCTCGTCCCATCGGTCTCCAATTAAAAAAAAAAGAAAAGAAAAAGCAATTACACGGTTTATTTATCCGTTTAATTGCAGTTTCAACTATTCCACGATGGTGGAATGTCTATGGCGAACAATCGAAGGAATTCCGGACGAAAATGTGTCGTTTCAGGAGCCGTGAAGTGAATTACGCGAAATTGAATGGTCGAGGAGGGGCAAATGGCCACCTTAAATTATCGTCGTTATCGGCCAGTGGACGCCATTAACGGATGCATTATTCAGGGAAACGTGATAAAAACCGATCGAGTATTTGTACACTCGCTCGCGAAACTTGTTTAGCGATGAAAATTAATTTGTGAATCGAGACCACGGTTCTTCATCGATCGCGTGCTTCATCGACGACTTTTCAGCGAAATTAATACGGCCTTCCGGTGGAAAAGTAGGCGGCCAAGCTTTTTTTTCGAACGTGGATCGAATGTATCGAGGGAAGGGGAGGGGGAATAGATTGGTTTTTCAGTTCAGTCGATGGAATTTATTCGGGTCGAAATATTCCATATTTCGTAAAGCTCGCCGATCAAACGAGAAAGACAGCGTCAAAGAGAAATTCAAAGAGAATTCTGTCACGTTTCCTTCTTAATAAGAAATCTAATCTTAATATTTATTCATAAACAGTCGTCGAAGAGATGATCACGTTGCGCAATTTTAATCAATATACGTACATATAGCCGGGATTTGGATTCACGAAATCGGAAGAAACCAAAAANAAAAAAAAAAAAAAAAAAAAAAAAAAAGAGCAAAGCATCTCGCAATCCGGCCAAAACCAGATAGAAACGAGTTGATTTTTAATTGATTTTTTGATTCACTCGGAATTTATCCAGGTTTCATATCTCGTTAAATTTATCGATCAAAGGAAAAAAAATAATATAATAAATCGAAGCAAAAGTATTCGAAGGAAATTCCGTCACGTTCTTCTTATCTCATTATTTATTTATAAATAAATCATCGAAGGAATAATCGCGTCGCGCAACTTTGAAGTATAAAGAAATCCCCACGCGTTTTTCGAATTCTAAGAAGAAGAAATAATACGTTATTTCGTAATGCGCCGAAAGAAAGATGGAACGTTTGATACCTTGGCCTCGCGATTGTGCGGTTCGTGAACAACACGGGAAACTACTTAACGATAAAACGACGAAAAGTTCTTGCCTCGTTTAACGTCGGGCCTCGAATCTCTTATTATTTATCAAGCGGGCCGTTTCACGGTATAATAGGAGAATCGTGTCACTTTAGGCGTCGACATCTCTCTAAAACCGTCCCCTACAATATTATATCAGCAGGAATGGAGCCGATTCACGGAGATCCATTGTTCGTTCCGGGACAATAGCGCCATTTCGAAGCCAATCAAGCTTCCCCGGAAAACAATTAGTACTTTCGCGTTTCCACAAACCAGCCGGTTAATTCATAAACCGCTTATTGTAGAATATACGTATTGTAGAATATACGCCCCGTAACGATCACAATTTGGGCGCCGATTGACGCTTTTCATCATCCCGCCTTCTTTTTCACGACGATCCTCGAAACGTTCGTTTCAACAATTTGTTCTCAAAAAAAGGATGGAAGAATGTTCCCGACCGGAAACACACCTTTAGGTCTCGCTTTAAACGAAGTAATTACCCCTTTTTCATCGTTTTCTCTCTTAAATTTCGCGGAACAGAAAGGAGGAAGGGGAAAAAAAAGAGGATGTAACGTCTTTGCAAGGAGCAAAGACGAGGCCGAGTTAGAGAGAGTGATAAATGGTGATGAAAGGTCCTGGAGTTTACCAACTATTACGATCCATTAAAGTTTCACGGCGATCACCGGATGAAAATTATTAAACAGTATTAAGCCACGTGTCTCGTTCGTTGAAAACGGGTCACTTAGCGAGGATCGTGAACGCCATTAAAGTTCAAGGTGGCGGTTAATGATTCAACGAATCCATCCAACGCTCGCTGGACGGTTTTCGATAGCGGGAGGAAACTTTCGAGGTTCGATCGACGACTCGTCTCGAAACATTCTCACGATTATATCGACGCCTCGATTATATTTCGCGAACCGTTCTTTCCGCGAATCAAACGAAAATTTGGTGGATTAATCGAGGGAAAAGATGATCGAGCTCGACGGAAGGAAGGGAAGAGAATGGTCGAATTCTCTCGTTTTCGAAGAGAAATCAAACGACCACCGATGTAAATAACATTTAATGTCTGTATATTTTGCACTTTCGACTCAATTACAATTAATTGATTCTTAGTCGATCGCGTAATGTTTTGTTTTTTTGTTTCGGCACGCGTGATCCGCTTGCGATCAAGCAACGACTTAGTTAATTGTTACTATACAACAGGACAAATAAATAAGATATATAGTATCTTTCCTCGTGTGTGTGTATATATATATATATATATATAATATAATAGAACAGTTTGTCTTTTCTAAAATATCTTTTCTTTAACTTTGCATATTTTTTTTCCCCCTTTTTTTTTTTTAAATATCCTACTTGCAAATATCTCGAATAGGCTCTTAATTTTTGTCGAGCTTTAAAAAGGAATTTATATTTTTTTTCGTTGCATCGAAGGCAAGCGGTTACCATCTTTTTTCCCTTTCTCTCTCTCTCTTTCTCTCCCTCTCTTTCTCTCTCTCACTCTTTCTCTCGCTCACATTCTGACTCTCTTCTCGTTCTCGCTCTCGCTCTCTGTTTCTTTTTAAAGTTTTTCTTTTTCCTCTTTTTTTTTTCCCTCAGGGGTTCTCAACGAGATCGTACATCAACAATTAACACGTTTATCCGTCCCTTCGTCGTTCGCATGCCCATTCTTCTTGAATTTGAATCTTTCGTTCGAGAGAGCAACGTTTCGAAGGGATGCAAACGACGAAAGTCGGATCGACAATATAATAATAATAATAATAATAATAATGCCAATAATAATGAGCGTAGGCATAAAACGGCTTAACGTCTTACAACGATATTTTTAGAAGGAACCCGGCCCCCCCCCCCCTCGGCCCTTTCTTTCTTTCTTTCTTTCTTTCTGTCTTTCTTTCTTTTTCTTTTTCTTTTCCCTTTTGCTTCTTTCTGTACAATAGGAATTATACATAGAAGACGGAAGATAAAGCATTATCGCTCCTCGATAGTTGGAAGAATCGAGGCGAAAGATCGATACTTTCGCATAAACGGTAAAGTACCACGTTCCTTCCCGTGTGCACCTTTTGAATCCATGTGCTCGGGGATATCTCTCGAACGTATCCAATGCCGTGCCCTCGCAGATGAAACGAAGAATTTTTCTTCGATAAACCGTTTTGCATCTTTATCAACCCTTCTTGTTCGCAAACGATTTTACTAACGCGTTTCGCATGGAAAATTCTAAAATGACTCGGGCGTGCTTCGAATCTAAAAGATAAACGGAATTGATATCGTTCTGTGGTATATGTAAGAAATCTAACTAGAAAATCGATGAATAGTATTCACGTATTATTTGTAAAATCAATAATCAATTCACGAAACGAGGATGCAGTTTAGTAGTTTCGTTCAAAAAATTCAATCAAATGTAATAAACTTATCCAACTTAGTTTGTTCTAATTTCTCTAATCGAGGAAGAAGAGGGAGGGGGAGGGGGAGGGAGAAACGAATTTGCACGCTTGGTATCATGAAACGGCATTGATCGGCACGCTGATCGCAACACTTTTGCTCATTATCTCGTAACTCGCGTTATCTCGGCGTGGGTTAATTGCTCGAACCTCTTCAGGAGAGAGGTATGCGATCGGCGGCAACGCGATTACGCGATAAGTCTCGACCTTCCCGCCAGGCGAGGAGATGCCTCTAGATTAGTTAAATAGTTTCTTGATTCAAGCGATATACGATCATGCTTTGCGAACGTTTTTACGGGCGCGACGTAATCACATTTCGTTGTATCGGCGCAAAGGTCGAGAGATAAAAAAAAAAAAAAAAAAAAACGGAAGTTTGCGTGCAAAAGGATCGTTTCTATTTCGGAATCGGAATACATGATATCGAAAATAAAATAATTAAGAGAGAGGAAAAAATAAGGAAAATAAGGAAGCGTGGAAAGAAGGGGTAAGAGTGATATAATCAATTCATACGGATTGAAATGTGACAATTCGAAGCGACGGGCTATGTGTTTTCTCAGTTGGAGGGACGAGAGAGATTAAAAAAAAAAAAAAAAAAAAAACGGGATAAAAAAAGTCGACGAAGATAATGGATGGATAGAAGAGTGGAAAGAAGAATAGAAAATCCGTGTGAGGTGTTTCAGGGCTGAACTGAAAATGAAGAATGTTTCCTCGTTTCTGCAGTGTTCGCTATGTAAACTCATTTTTTTCTCCTTTTTCAATTTTTTTTTTTTTTTTTTTTTTTTTGCTTTACGCGTTACATTCAACTCGTCGATTCTTCTTCTTCTTTTTTTTTCTTTTTTTGTTCTTCATCTTCGCTATGGGCTTAACTTCTATCTTCGGTATCCTTACGTGCTAAAAGGGACGCGTGTCTCGTCCACCGTGTGGATCTTACGATTAACAATCGATCGAACAGCGAGAATTATTCGAGGCCTCTTAGCGACCTGCGAGGAAACGATCAACGAAACGACGAATTTTTCGGTGTCATTGATGCGACCATCGGACGTACGATATTCCGCTCGATGATCGCTAAAAATTATATTATTGATATCTTTACAGTGTTCTATATACCCTAACTAACTAACCGGTGCTTGTAAATATATCGACGACAGTCGGAGAGGAACTAAAAACTCGAAAAAGATAACCGCGACGAGATTCATCCGGTTGTCGAGCGATCGATTTTGTCCTAATGAATTCGCATCGATGACACTTGTAAATCTCATAAAATCAGCAACTTTTCATCTTACTTATTTACAACATTACCATTTAATATGGTGCATAATACTCTACACTCATCCTAATCATCGGACATGATTGCTCGTGACGGCAAGGAAGAAGAATTTTTTTTTTTTTTTTTTTTCTTTTAACTTGTATAATTCTCTCGATCGTCTCGTAACGCACCTGTTACGTTTCTTTTTTAACTGTTAGGCAAATAACGCAACAATACATATATACATCGTTTAATAATCTCTACTGGCGAGCAATACTGTGTGTGTGTGTGTGTATGTATATATATACGTTTTATACGATATACAAAACTCGCATTCAATGCGAATTCCTCCTTCCGTTTCATCCATTTTGTTTTCTTCTTCCATTAGCTCGAGTGGCGCCCTCGAAAGGCTAACCCCCCTCCCCCTCACCCCGCGTTCCCCACTCATGTCTCTTCTTTCCGCTATCTACTTTACAAAGTTTTCCCTATCTTACGGTGTAACTTTAGTTCTCGAAATGTTTCTAAGGAACATCCACGGCCCGACCATCCTGCTACCTGCAACTATTTTCTTATTTATATCACCGTCGCGAATAGAGAGCGTGTTGCGAGATATCCGAGTCACTTGACTCTCTTGAAGTCTCTTGTATCGATGTTCCGATGCTGTTTGTTTCGCCGTGTCGAATCCTTTATCTTTTCCTTTTTTTCTCATTTCTTTTTTTCTTTTTCTTTTCTTTCCGATGTTCTCTTTGCTGTTGCGTGGAAGTCGGGCCGTTCGATAACGATAGCGATTTCGAATCTCGCGATTCACGAGAGAATGAACTCTTCTAGCGAGCCGAAATGGTCCTACGTGTACTTTTAATAATAATAATAATAATTGTAATCTTTTTTTTTTTTTTAATGTTTCTTTCTTCCTTCTCTACGAATATCGTGCAAGTGACGAGTAAAGACGGTGTGTAAAGACAAAGATAGAACAATAGATCAAAGAGTTAGAGATCGTGTATAATAGGTATAGATAGGAATACATTTTTTTATTTTTCTTTTCAATTATATACTTAGTGTATATATAGTAGTTGAAGAAAGGAGTTGAGATAAAAGTGTATAAGTATAATAGGATTTTTTTGAGTGAGACTAAAGTTTGAATAGAAATCTCGATAAGTTTAGTAAATTTAGTAATATGTTTAGTCATCATAGAATGTTCATGGCCAGCCCCGGTTTACGTGTAACGCACTACTATTGATTAAAAAAATTTGAAATCACTTTTTTTCGATAGTAATTATATCGAATCCTTCGCTAATTTTAATTATTAATTAAAATCTAATACTACAGATATCATAGATGTTTCACGAGAAAGAATCTTTTGAGGTTATAAAATTCTAACCTAACTTTTGCTTAAATTCTTGAAACGCGATTGGTGATTTCAAATTTTTCGTGGATAGCTGTGTATAGCTGTATTTCTGTATTATATTTCTCACGAACGAAAACAATTTAGAAAAGAAAATACGAGCGATTCGATAAGTTTCAGGAATCGAAAGTAGCGCATGAGAATTTCTTGTTCGCTTTATGGCTAATAACGTTTTGATAACATTTTTCACGCGCAGAGAAATGATTTTCCAAATGTTCGTTCCGATTTTGGTCCAAATCGAAAAATTCTCTCTAATACATTGGTCGTTTCGCGTATACGGTTGACTAATCAATTGACGAAAGTCGAAACTAGCGTATACCGAATAAAGAGAAAAGACGAGATTTTTAAAATATTTTTTCCTCAAGTTTGAAATTTTACGTACTGGTCCTGGCTGTGCGTATAACCTTGAAGTTTAATTCTTCTTTTTTAATTTAAACTAGGTAATGCAGATACCTTGTTTCAAAGCGATAATTTGCACAAGAATCGAATTATAACCTCAAACGAACTGGCTACCACTTTGTCCGTGTGATTTCAATATATTTAAATCGAACTTAGTTTATCCTTGTTCACAGGTACAAATGCTAATTATATGATTGACTAGATAATATGTTTCTCATTTTTTTTTTTCAAAATCACAACAAGCGAAGATGTTACAAGTATATAGTACGTAATAAGTTAATCAGTGGTAGCTATCGATGTTAAATCAGCCTATTATAATAATAAACTCTAACGTTAATCCTTATATGATTGTCGTTAAGAAACAACAAAATTCTTCTTAAATATATAAAATACCGAACGATGGATAATTCATTGTCGCAAGAACGAAATCTACGAACGTTTTAGATATGACTCGAAGTTGCAAGTCGAAGAATGAAAATTGGTCGAGAACTCGATCAAGTCTTTTCACGAAAGTCTTGTAATATGTTTCAAGAATCTGCATTTATCATTTTGGTTCTTTCGTTTCCAATAACAATTAAACTCTATCGATACTGATACATACGATTATCTATAAGAGCCAATTCTAAACTAAAACATTTCTTCCTAACCTCTATTCAACTAATCATCTTTGATCGCGTGAGATCGTATATAGAGAATACAAAACGTATAAACGCACACGTTGGCCTAACAAATATACTCGATATTAATCAACCTACGCGAACACACTTTGCGATACATCTCTGTTAAAATCTCACTTAATTCGTGCACGATTTTATGTACCGTGCATTTCTGGCACAGATACTTTACGACAAATTAAGAGGAAAAGAGATCGAAAGAGACATTACTTTCGACGAGATACAGATATTTTGCTCGATCGGTAATACTTTTCATCCCTTGTGAAATATATTTGTCAATATCGGTCGATGGTACGTGAAAACTTTCAAGGAAAAATTTTCGCGAATTTCTCACGATTTCTTGGAATTTTACGGTATTCGATTCGCTATGTCGATAGGAATTGGGACTGGCCACGTGGAACGACGGTTTTAGATTCGAGCAAACATAATGTCCATTAAACAGCGAGCGTTTCTTCGCTCGCTCTCGTTCGATTCTAAATATATAGCTACGTATTTTAACAGCAAATGCACACACCGATTAAACGGAGTCGAGTGCCGCGAGGGAATATTGCAATTATTATTATTTTTTTTTTTTTCGTACCTTTGTTTCGAGATTCTGACATGTTCGTTTAACTTATTCGTTAACTTCGCCCCCATATTTAATCAATTTTTGCCGGATAGTTTATATCACGGTTTCAATTTCAATTTGAAAAATTAGTTAGTCGTGTCGATGTTGTTCGTGTTGATAGAATAGAGAACACGAAATTAAATTGGCACTTCGAACATTCCCTTTAATCCGCATCGTCTTAATCCTAAAACGAGTGAGAAATATTTATCCGCGAGCTATCGTTCGTGACGATCTTTCTCAAATATCGAAACGAAGGGAGAAAAGATAAAAAAAAAAAAAAAAAATTAACAGATCGAATAACAAAATACATCGATTCGGTAATGAAACGAAATTTTTCCGATCAAAATCAAACTCGTTTGTTCGTAAAGTAAACGAACGTTTGGTTAACGATGATACAAACGAAGCAAAGAAAAAAAAAAAAAAAAAAAAGAAAAAAGAAAAAACTGGAAAAGAGAAGAAAGAAGAGAAGAGAAACAAAACGAGGAAGAGAATAGTGCCGGTTTAAAAACGACGCTCCGCGAATAAAACGAGCGAATTCATTCGTAGCATAAACATTGAACTCGATTGAACTCGTTTCGTAGCAGATCCGTTTAGCAGGATTGAAAGGACGTTGCGCGAGAGGCTGGGTGAAAGAGTAATTGGAATAAATGCACGAAGAAGAGAGATCGTCCGTTTCCATAAATTCTCGCCGATAATTCTGCTGGACGTTCCGATCGTCGAGATATACGCGCTTCAATACTTTTTTGACCGTGCCTGATCATTCGCCTATTACCATATTTCTCCGCTGATAATTCCTTTGCAACTTTGTATATAACTGTTATAAAACACCGTATCGATCTCTTGGGACGTGCTCGCGAGTGAAATTCCGAATTAGGAATTCGTATAATATCGCGTAAATTCGTTCGCAAGAGTTACGAATTGTGGTGCAACAATCGCGAGAAACACGACGCGACATCCGATTTCAGCGATAGGCGCGACTTCTCAACTCGAAAGGGTTGAAAGAAGAAGAGGAGTAAGAATACGATTCCGTATTTCCATCGATGGAGTAGTACACACGAGTGAAAGCGGTTGAACACGTTACACGTTGCAGAGCGATGGTTATGAGCAACGGACGTTGGATTTTTTCGATTTCGGGACGTTGCTCGTTGAAAGCAAATCGAAGGGATGAATCTCAGGTACTCAGTAGCAGAATGTATTTTCGCGTGCATGCATCGTTTCGAGACGGTGGAACGCACGAAGGTCGCGACGAAGCACCTCGTTTTGAACAGAAATCGAACGAATTTTTATTATTATTTTTTTTTTTTCTTTTTCTCTTTTTTTCTCCCTCCTTTCTCTCCGATCAGCCGCGACGACGATTTTCGCGATCGAAGGGATTCGATCTTTTCTCTCTCTCTTTCTCTCTCTCTCTCTCGCATCATCGTGACGATCGATTCCGTCCAGCGATAGAAAAATCTCGAGAAATTGGTAACGTTTCCGATCCCGTTTACGGTTTATCACTTCAACGCTTTGCTATTGAGTGTCGTCTATATATCGTCCTACTGTATGTATATTATTTATACATGTATATATATATTAGTATATTAAATCTCTTTGAACGGTATCTCTTATTAAAATATCTATGACGCTTGTACACTATATACTTCTTTCCCCCCCCCTTTTTTTTTTTAAATACATATACATATATGTATTTATATCTTTCGTGATCTTTGGCTGACATCACGACTGTGTCATCGTTTACGCGAAACTTTCACCGCCGCTTTCTTCTTCTTCTTGTTTTTTTTTTTTTTTTTTTTTTAAATTTTCTTCACGCTTTTAATATCAATCCCCCGGAGCTTTTGGTAATGGAGTGAAATAAAAACGCGAAACCTGGTCGTGACTGGGATGCGTAAATGGGTATACACGCGGTGCTACACGCGAATGTGGTAGCTCGATGGTATCTCACGTAAATGACTAGGAGAGATCGCGTGTATTTTAATCTCTGGCCACTATCGTTTGCAGGCAGACGAAAAGGAAGAGATTCGATGGAGAATTCCGGGCATTCGCATCATCTCGCTTTTCATTTATTTTTCATCCACTTTTCACGGAGGCGCGTTCGGGGATCCTCGAAATGGATGGTTAAAAGCAAATTAGGACGAGTCGAGGCCGAGGTAGTGATTCGTTCAATTAACAATCGTGAACGAAGGCACGATTGTAAATCTGCTTCGTCAGTATTGACCCACGATTGTTTTCTAACTAACCAATGCGGATAATTATGCATACCAAGTTTTTTTTTTTTTTTTTATTTCTCGCAATTTCAATTTTTAACGAGGATCTCGTTAAAACTTTTTTATTATTATTTTCTTTCTTTCTATTGAAAATTCTAATCGTCTTATGTGCGTTTGTATTAATTGATTATCTCTTGTAATCTGAGTAGATATGACAATATTTTTATAGAAACTGTACCTCATTGGATTATATATACAACGATGTGCGTTGAATATTATTATATCGATGTATTCCTGAATATATTTTCAACGAAATTTTCAAAGAATCTTGACTGGCAATCTCGAAAAAATATTCGAACGAATTTCAAATAACGCGATCGCTTCAAATCGTTTTGTTCCTTCAAGTAATCTCGATGCAATCTTAGAACGATCTTGGAACGAATCTTGCACATCATTTATAGAAAATCGTTTTGATTCTCTTGCGAATGATTTGTTTGTCGATCACCACACAACAAAACAAACAAAGAAAAAGAAATCGTGTAAGTAATGGATTCAGGTTTTTCTCTCACGCACAAGTTTTCACCCCTTGTTTTCAATTGTCGATTTTTTCCCCAAAAAGGAAAGGAGGAACGGTTTCGCGGATCGATAACCGTCCATTCAGGACTTCCGTGACGCGGGTTCCGCTTTTGGCCATCCACGAAGAAGATGGCCCTCTACGATTCGCCTTTCTTACGCCTTTTCCTTCACGTCTCTCTGCCTGTAAACGACATCGAAAATTGATTGATTCACCTCCCGTGAAATCCTATCCTTATTGTACGCGCCCCCTCGAGAGAATTTCCCCCCTGAAATCCTGAAATTCTCCCCGTATCGGTTCTATTATATTCGTCGAATGAAAAGGGAAGCTTGTAGTAAGCAATCTCGAAACAGTTAAAAGGAGGGGGAGGGCCAGAGATTTTTCTCGGATACAACCACTCGGAAGTAACGGTATAAAGGGGCCGACCAACGTCGCTTCGAGCGTCTCTGACCTTTTATCTTCCCTCTAGCCCACCCCTCTCCTTAATTACACGCGATTCCACGAAGAGAAGGTTCACTCGATGCAAGGCTCGGAGCATGAATCGTTCATCAACCACGTCTGCTAACTTTAACGATCGTAAACGGGGGATGATATCTTTTGGGGATATCGTTCCACGGGGATTAGTCGCGACGAGACTTCTGCTTCTATATTTAAATCGACTAGAGAGAACGGCGAATGTCGGTGGACGACACCGTCGATCTTTATCTTTACAGGAGGCAAAACCGAGGTTTTTCTCTTAATCATCTCTCTGTGAAAAAGATGAAAAGTAATTATTTGAATCAGTGTACAACCTTTGCAGTGTTGTGATTAAATCTGTATGTTCAGCTAAAGCTTTTGAAAAAACGCCATCCTTTCCTTTTTTTTTTTTTTCCCTCTTTTCTTTCTTTTTTTTTTTTTTTTTTTATTTTTTTAAGAACACGAACCACGATACAACCGGTCGCGGCCGTATTTACAACGGTTTCTCTAAAATTAATCGAACATTATGTTCTCACTGAGAACGTTATTAAGTCACTGTGATTCTTTCGAGTATTCCTATAGAGATATATATATAAATGTTTCGGTGAACTTTGATCACGTTTCTTTCTTTCTTTCTTTCTTTCTTTTTTTTTTTTTCTTTTTAAAAACGAGGCTTCCGGCTAGTTCGGAAAAGCTGTTTGTTTTTTTTTTTTTTTTCTTTTTCAACGCGCGCTAACTTCTATTATTCGTTATTATTACAGAGAGGCTTCTATAATCTTTATCAGCCCCGATATTCGGAATTGCATTTTTTTTTTTTTTTATATATATATATATATACCTGATGCATGTTATCGTGCGTATTCTATCTACGTTTCCCTACCAAATGTCCGTTCAAACTTTTTGAAAAAAACTCTTGACGATTTAATCGACGGTTTAAGCGACCCTCGATCAAAGGCAGTGAACACCAACGAAAATTTTCAACATTCGAACGAAGGCCGCCACTTTACCGCGAACGCATTGAAATATATTTATTTATTTATTTATTTATTTTTTTTCGTCGCACTATCTAATTACTCTTAATAAATAGCAAACATGTTTCATCGTGTTAGTGAGTTAACGATCTAAGCAATTATCGCGGCGAGCAAGGCTTATTATTATCGAGATCGCGCGTTATTATTTTTGAGATTCAATTTATTTGGATAATAAGATAAACGGAAACAATGAATAAAATAAAAGAAAGGGGGGGAAAAAAACTCGATCTTAATTAAATTCCTAAGTACTGCGTACTGAAAAGAAGGACGTTCGAATGAAATTTCGTAAAATAAAACGTTTATCTTCTTTCGAAAATTTCCCACCCCTTCGCGGGGGATGTGAATACGATTTCGCGCTTCCACTATACACTGCCTTGCTTTTATCGCTGCTATATGTATGTATCCTCGTCTTATTTATTCTCTAATAAGTAAATATTCCTTCGTAAGATCGCGATTTTTGGAATTTTTGCGATGGAAATCTACGATCTCTTTTGATATAATATATATGTATATGTATAACACAATGCGTACGAAACGCTCGAAAACTTGTCGTAGGATCGCGAAAGCATCGAGGATCGTGTTTATTTTTTTTTTCTTTTTAAAAGTAGTATCGTATGATAATATACGTTTATATAAAATTAGCGACATCGTTCTCTGGCGAAAGAGGAATGGCAATACAATCCGCTACTAAAATATCATAGAAACCTGTGTGTATGTGTATGTGTATGCGCGTGCGCGCGCGCGCGTGTGTGTGTACGTCCTGTTCATCGAACGATTAAATAAATACGCTATTTTATATATACGTGTGTCTGTGTGTATATATATATATAATATATACTTCTGTATTTTTCATCAATATATTTGATAACAACCGTGAACGAATGATTCACGGGCCCACGGGAGATTAGAACACGTTTCTTTCTTTTTTTTTTTTTTTTTTCTTTTTTTTTCTTTTTTTCGACCTATATATAACCATTCGTTATGTGATCTATCCGTAAAATTATTATTTTAAGGCAAACTCACTTTACTTCCTCGCACACGTAAGCTTCTCCTTTGTTCGCTCTTGTCCTCTCCTCTTTTCCCACCATTTCTCATCTTTCTCCTTTCTTTCCTTTTCTTCCCTCCAATTAACTTCTTCTTCGCTCGTTCTCAGTTACACGTTCTCACGCTCTCGTTCTTTCTCTCTCTCTCTTTCTTTCTTTCTCTCATTCTCACTCCCTCTCAGGTACCTCTACGCACATGCACGCATTCAATAACGTCACGCGATCACGTTCGTTGTTAAATCAATCCCGGATGTGGGAGGGCGAAAGCTACCACCAGTAGTTTTCCGGCACAGAGTGTTCGTTCGCCAGCGAAATCGCACCCCTTCGATTCCACTTCCTTTTTGTCCTGGAAAAAGAAAAAAGATAAATAGGTTAGATAAAAAAAAAAGTTCCTTATTCAGCAATCTTATTTCTCCTTTTCTTTCCCTCTCCCTCTCTCTCTTCTTCTTCGAAGGTGCAAAATTCGTTTGGTCGGAATTCGTATATATGTATATATATATATATATATGTATATATATATATAGTATGTAGAAGACGAGTCTCACCGCGCGAAGACAAAATTTTATTCCGCGCTATTTGCACGCCCGATGCTATATTTACGCTTTTACGTTTCTGAATGAGAATCGTGCCAACCGTAACATGGACGATTGAATTTTCAAGCTTAACGCTTGCGTATTTCTTGCGAGCGACTACGTTTTACACGACTTTTTGATTTTTATCCTTTACGTTTTGTACGTCATTTATACCATAGGTGTAAATTTGTATAAGAATGGACGTTTGGTTTTTATCAATAGAGAGAACTTACCGAGAGAACGTTTCGTTGAGCACACGCCTTGGCGGACGCGACGAGTTTAAGATACACGCGGAGCGGGTGTAGGCCGACGTTTGCTGCCGCTGAACGGGCTCCTTTTAGAAGCCCTCGATATAGCCGTAGGCCTCGAGGATCGACATAATGAGGTAGAACACCCAGAGGAAAAAAAGGATCAGCGACGTGATCACTTTTGGGACGAATGGCCCGCCGAGCTCGCCGCCAATGCTTTTCGTCCGCCTCAGTAGTAGAACTAATATTACCAGGCACGCTTCCGTGCAGAACAACGTCACGCAGAAGGCTAAGCTGTTGAGAACATACAGTGTTATTTGTCTGTTGATAATTCATTTCTTAATATCTCTTACGATTATATTAACTACGTTCTATCGTACTATTTTTCGTACGCAACCATGGACAACTTGGGATTTTTATTTTTTTAAAAATCTTTCTTCTTTCTAAAATATTTATAAAAAATATCCGATGATGAGTCAAGTTTTCAAAATTGTTTCCAATTTAACGATGAAATTTTTCCCCGATTGAACGTGAGTTACGATAGATCACGTCGAATAAATAAAAAATACGTGGTATTTTTATATACTTAAAAATCGTCCTACCTAACAATAAAACGAATCGTATTTCATCGAGAGCGTACACCAATATCGAGAATCGAGGGTTGTTTTCGAAAACTCGAATCGATCGATAACGCGATCGAGAGCATGATGGAAGGCCATCTGTGCGCGCATCGTGCAACTACTTCGACTTCCTTGGACTTCGTCCCTCGCCGCATCTGTTGCCAATCGAATTTATTTATGGGTTTACAACGAGTCGAGATATCGGAGATCGAGAAGAATTCATTTATTTCTAGATTTCATCCGAGCTGGCCAACCCAGTTTCGACACGATTTTGTTGTTTGTTTCCGAGAAAGAAGAATTCGATTTCGTGAAATATTCTCGTCGGATTCGGGCTCGAAATAAGACGCTAGGTTTTCCTCGCCGTTGAAATTCACGCGAGACGGTTTCCGGTATCGACAACCTCACCTTACCAACCGAGAAAATTGGGATCAGCCAGAGAAACGTTATTCGTGCTGTCTTGCACAGGGAATGCATGATTACGAGCGCGAGTAACGGTTCGACCCGTGCACATTATCGTGTAAATATTTCTTATCGAATAGGAAAACTTATACATTTTTCACGAGGAAAGGGCTCGAGCTTGATGTTCCAGCTCTTCATGTTTTGGATCTTCACATTTGATAACACATTTGAGATTAAATTTTCTAATCGACGAAATAGAGGAAGATCGATGGAGAAGTTTGTTCCTTCCTTGTGATTATAAGTGCAACGATTCGAAGATTGATTGAACCGCATTTTGCTTGCCGTGTAAATATTTCTTATCGAACGGATAGAAATTTCATTTTTCGTGGAAGAAAATTTCTATGTTTTATATCTTTTTGTGGAAGATTAAATTTCGTAATTGACGCGGTTTACCATTTTGTAGGGCCATTGTGATTATATATTCGAAGGTTGATCGAACTTTATGCACACCGTGTATAAATTTATTTCTTATTAAACAAAATTTTACTTTTCACGCGGAAAAAATTTCTATGCTTCTACCATCTTTGCAATCGACGTGTATGTTTTGAAGGTTTTTGAACATTCCGGAGGAACTGTTTTAAAATATTCTCTATGTGTAGAAAATATGCACGATTACGAGTATAACGGTACGAGAGTTGATCGAACTGCACACTCCGAGCACCGTGTAAATATTTCTTATCAAATAGACGAATGGCAGGAATGTTTCGTTTTTCATGCGAAAGAGGCGCGCGTTCGACGTGCAAACTTTGCACGCTTTTTTTTAGACGATGAATGTGAAATTAAATTTTTTAATCGACTGATCCGTGTAGGGAAACATCGTTCTGGAGAAATTGTTCTAGAGAAATTGTTCTAGAGAAATTTCTTTTTCTTTTTTTTTTTTTTTTTTTGTAGAAAGAATACACACACGATTGCGAGCAACGGTTCGAGGATTGATCGAATTGCGAACTCCGCGCACCGTGTAAATATTTCTTATCGAATGGATAGACGAATGGTAGAAAATGTTTCATTTTTCATGCGGAAGGGACGTGCGCTTGATACGGTGTGCAAACTTTCCAACGCTTTAGGCCTTTGATGATAAAACGTGGAATTAAATTTTGCAATCGATTTGCCAGTACAATTTCTCGATTTATCGCGTTAATTCTATCGAAAAATATACAGAATTTATTGGATTTATCGCGCGCGTGAAACGTATGATAATTTTGTTGACCGTGCAAAACCATTCGGAATTTAGCGGAATTTAAATGTACCGTTGAATCACAATGTTTCTTTGCACGCCAATTCGAAATTAATCAAATACGCGTTTCATATACGAAACGATAAATTATATATTCTTATATTAAAATTCAAAATTTGTGACATTAAACGCGCAAGCGAGCGTGAAAAAATTTGTTCAACTCAACGTAGATAAATTGAAAATTGAATCGAGGAAGAACTCGATTCGATCGATAGCACATATCAAAAAAAAAAAAAATTTTTTTTCAATCATCATTCAATCGATGACCAATCTCTTTTTAAAATTTCGCGTTTGCAACGATTACCGACCAATTCCAACCATTCCAGATCCACTCCATCTTGCAGATTTCGAATGACAAAAATTTCGCGTTTCGAAATTTATGCCTCTCTAACAAACACCGACCTCTCCGTTTGACGTTCCTCTCGGAAACATCCGTATCGTATACATTACGTATCCTGAAGGATATGCCCCTTGTCGACACGGGACAACAATTTTCTAGAGCACCGAGAGACACTGTTGTGGAGTTCTGGTCACGTTTCAGCGCATAAATCGACAAGCACCGCGAGTTTCTCCCGCAATCTCTGACCGAATTTCTCGAGAGCATCCCTCTCCACCGGCTCGAGATCGTAAACGGTGCCCTGATATCGAGAGAGGGATCTATATATATATATATATATATACGCTCTCGTCTTTCACCTGATATTGTTTCGTTTCTGTTCCACTCTTATCCGGTCCCGATGGGGTGGACTTGTATCAGATCCGGTATCTCGCGCTCTAAATCGCGTTTACAACGGGGATGCGCGGCCATTGTCCGGAATCGAGATTCGTTTCGGCAGTAAGCGAGCTATTTTTTACGATTGCTCCGAATTACTTAGGAACAGTTACGATTTTTATTGGAGGAAAAAAAAAAAAAAAAGTGCAGTTTGGATCTTTGAAGATCGATGATTTCTCTGTGGGAGGAAAATGTGGAGTGGAGAATTTCGCGAACGAAACGATTTTCTCATCTCCATTGAAACTCCAGATCTCGAAAGTTTCATTGTTTTCGTTTCAAACTTCGTTTCGATAAATCGAATCCTCGAGCACGCGTTTCAATCTTTGCAGAAACGGGAAACAAAAAAAAGTCGAAAGCCCTTCGTCCTTGTATCGATCTCTTTCGAGATCAATTTAATTAAGATGACTACGCGATTAAATCTAATACGATAAATCTAATATATAATTTTGGAGCCTCGAGGGGATCTTGTGAAGAAAGATCCGATTGAATTTATTTTTTCGATTACAAGTTATTCCAAATTCCATCGTTTTATATATATATATATATATAAAACAATAGATTATTATTTTCGAATAAGAGTGCGAATACATTTGAGATTAAATCTTTTCTTCTCGAGAATATTTTTTACGGATACTTCTTTCAAAGTGACTCAATCACGATTTTCCAATAGTATTTTTAGACTGATTCTCGAATGGGTTCTAACAAATAATAACGTTTGTTTCGTTCGTCATTTCATTCATCCCAAGTTCTCTCTGGAAAAAAATAAAAAGCACAATCTGCAGCACAAAGTTAAACGATATCGAAAAAGTAAGGATAAATCGATACTGACTTGCCCGGTTTTACTCTAAACTTGTCACCGTGCAACGCATGGTAAATGGCCGCGATGCTCCATGCAACGCCGATCCCCAGGAAGACGTTCACCGCGTTACTTCCGGTCACGTTCCCCACGCTCGCGTCGGCGTACTTGTCCTGGCATGCGGCCACCTTGCTCGCGAACGTGTCTGCAATAAAATCACATACTTAGATCCAGACTCCTCTCCCCCCTACCTTCTCGCTCCTTTTTCGTCGTCGCCCCCCTCCCATTCCCTCTCTCTCATTCCCTCTCATCAAATTTATCGACTTTCAATCATTTCCCGCTCGCACGAGCAACAATACGACACCGTAATCTCGTTCATCATATATATACGTCGTATACACGGGTGGGTTATCGGGGAGGGGGGGTCGGGCACATGTCTCGAGGCGAGAGGCAGCAAAAGCAGCGGAGCTTGCTTGCGGCGCACCGCGATTTGTGGCAACACCTTGCCACGTCGTCTATACCAATTTGCAGTTTACGATTTACGTGCTTGCCCCTCCGATGTTATAAAACCTCCGTACGAGATCATATCATATATAATAAATATATCGCGAAATTTTACGAAAAGTTACGGATCCAACGATTCAATCACGAGAGACTGGTTCATTGACACGAGGAATCTCGCGCGTACGCAGAGTTTAAAAGTTTAAAAGTTTTGGAAAATGGATCGTGACCTTTTTTTCGATGAGAGGCCATCGCGAGCCATAAACGTTTTAAAGTTTAAGAAATAATAAAAGGGTTTTTCCGAGTAAACCGATCCCGATTCGCAACTTTTCTAACGTGGTGGTTCTCGTGTGGAAATCATCGATATGAGAAAGAGAGAGAGAGAGAGAGAGAGAGAG